GGGATGTCAGTGGCCGTTACTCAGTTCCCACCCCCCAGTGTTAGAATGTCTGCTACAGTTCCTCCCAGGGGCGGACTGACAACTCATGGGGCCCCGGCCAATAGGGGATCATGAGGCCCCTGTGTCCTTGCCCAAACTCAAAAAAGCCTATGAAAAAGGTACCAGGGGCAGCTCATGGGGCCCCCTACTGACCCCAGGGGACCATGGGGCCCCTGTGTCCTTGCCCAAACTCAAAAAAAGTCTATGAAAAAGGTACCAGGGTCATCTCATGGGGCCCCCTACTGACCCTGGTCCCTCCATAAGTCGCTGATTACTGCCATTACTAGTATCTAAAAAAAAAAAAAATTCCAGTATATATACCGCCATTTGTAGACGTTTATACCTTTCACGTAAACCAATTAATTTACCATTATTGGGATTTTTTTTAGCAAAGACACGGTGCAGAATGCATTTTGGTCTAAATTGCTGAAAACATTTTATTTTTGAAATTTTTTTGTTGGATATGTTTTATAGCAAAATCATTTTCTTTTTCTAAATTGTCATTTTTTGTTTATAGCGCAAAAAAAATTAAAAAAAAACGCTGAGGTGATCAAATACCACCGAAAGAAAGCTCTATTTGTGGGAAAACAATTAGATAAATTTCATTTGGGCGCAGCGTTGCATGACTGCGCAATTGTCAGTTAAAGTAACGCAAAAATGGACTGGTCAGGAAGGGAGGGGGGGGGGATTCTCTGGGGGGCAAGGGGTTAATATGCAGAGTAGTAATAAATCAAGCCAGCAGCAGACAAGGAGACAAAGAAGAGCCATAATGACAAATCCACGGAAACCATATAAATATCCGTTAGACTGAATTGGAATTTAACAAGATCCAATATTAGATGATACTATGGACCTCTAAATCTTCATTGAGGCCATTGGGTGCCATAGAACCAAATTTAAATAGCCAAAGGGTTTCCCTCCTACATAGGAGGCCTAGCCTGTCCTTGTCAGTGAGAGTTCCCTTAGGGACTTGTCCTATGGCCATAACTTCTAAAAAAAAAAACTGAAATTCGTATTATGGAGATGTAAGAAGTTCCTGGGGACTCTGTGTTTATTGCTCCCCTCTTCTGTGTTCACCAACTCCTTTCCGTAGGGGACGTATTGTACGGCTCACATACAACAGGTTAGCACATGATCTGTAGGGCAGGTAATGAATTGACGGATGTCATAAATAATACCTTTGGAATCAGACGTGTCACCTACCATGAGTGATGACCTGACAAGTGAGACAACCTTCTTCTCACACTTGTAGATAACGATTCTATTATCAAAGTAGGAACAGGTGTCATGTTTCTTATGAGGAGACGAGGAGAGTTTGCTCGGGGCTCAGATATTCATACGCGCCTTTCTGGATGTGACTTGAACTTTTAATGTTCCTTTAGAGGATCTTATACGCTTGTTTGTGAGTAATATATCTTATTTTAATAAAATCACTTTGCAGTATTGGTCGCAGGGGCGGACTGACAACTCATGGGGCTCCCGGGCAATAGGGGATCATGGGGCCCCTGTGTCCTTGCCCAAACTCAAAAAAGCCTATGAAAAAGGTACCAGGGGCATCTCATGGGGCCCCCTACTGACCCCGGGCAGTTTCCAAATGGTCAGTCCGCCCCTGATGGTCGGGCTTCCCCAGCCTTGTTAAGAGCTGCACAACCTTTGATCTATTGATGGACAAACTTCCATAAGTGGTCTATCCACCCACCCACCCTTGATCTGGGTCCCTGAGCACAGGAGGTGTTGTTTCTGTTTTCACTTTTTTATATATTGTAGCCTCAACCATTATCCTGTTATAAACACTTAAACCAGGGGTCTCCCAACTGGACTGAATGCGGCCCTTTGCTTGCCTTTTTCCGGCCCTTGGGGCATTATTCCTCCCATTGACACCAACAAGGAGGCACCATTCCCTCCAATGACATCAACAGTGGGGAACCATATCTCTCACTGACACAAGCAATGGGGCATTTTTCCTTCCACTGATAAATTAGGCCCTATTACCCCCCAGTGATACTAATGATGGGGCACTATTCCTCCCACTGATACCAATGATGGGGCACTATTTCTCCCACAGACGCCAATGATGGGGCACTAATCCTCCCACTGACACCAATGATGGGACACTATTCCCCACTGATACCAATGATGGGGCACTATCCTCCCACTGACACCAATGATGGGGCACTATTCCTCCCACTGACACCAATGATGGGGCGCTATTCCTCCCACTGATACCAATGATGGGGCACTATTCCTCCCACTGATACCAATGATGGGACATTATTCCTCCCACTGATACCAATGGTGGGGCACTAATACTCCCACTGACACCAATGATGGGGCACTAATACTCCCACTGACACCAATGATGGGGCACTATTCCTCCCACTGACACCAATGATGGGACACTATTCCTCCCTAGACACCAATGATGGGACACACTATTCCTCCCATAGACACCAATGATGGGACACTATTCCTCCCACTGATGCCAATGATGGGGCACTATTCCTCCCACTGACACCAATGGTGGGGCACTATTCCTCCCACTGACACCAATGGTGGGGCACTATTCCTCCCACTGACACCAATGGTGGGGCACTATTCCTCCCATAGACACCAATGATGGGACACTATTCCTCCCACTGATGCCAATGATGGGGCACTATTCCTCCCACTGACACCAATGGTGGGGCACTATTCCTCCCACTGACACCAATGGTGGGGCACTATTCCTCCCACTGACACCAATGGTGGGGCACTATTCCTCCCATAGACACCAATGATGGGACACTATTTCCTCCCACTGATGCCAATGATGGGGCACTATTCCTCCCACTGACACCAAGCCCGAGACATTGTTTACTCCCACTGACACCGGGGCATTTTTTTATACCCACTGGCCACTGCGGTCGTCCTAAAAGATTGAAGAACAGTAAACGGCCCTTTGTTTAGAGACCCCTGACTAAAACCATAGTCCGTTTATAAATGGCCCGAAGGATGGGAAGTGGTTATGGCACCCCGATGCAACTTTCAGAAGCGTGTGAAAAATTGCACAAACTGCACGATAACAAAGTCAAATGAATGGGCTGCCCCGCTGCAACGCACAGTAACAGGCAGCAATGCATGTGTGCTGCCGCATGGCCCCAATATGAACCTACGTGAAGGACACCGCAGTCACATTCTTACCTTGTCCTGGTACATCTCCACCGTCCTGGCCTGCTCTCTCCCTGACGTCTTGAACCTTCTGCTGGCCCAGTAGAGTGAGCCAAGGAAAGCTGACTTTAGAGAGTTGGATGTATTTTGGGAGAAGATGAAAATCCGGTCCGACCAGACTTTGGTCCTTACCCAACCAGGCTGTACAGGTGCCAACAAAACCATCAAATGAATTCACAACAAACACTGCAGAGCCTACCTGAGGGCCAAACTGTTGTCTAGATGTTTGGGACCATTGTTATGTTAATGGAGGAGCTGGGGAACAGACATGACTCATCCCTGAGGAACAGAAGTGACCCATGGCTGGGGTGGGTGTTGTCTCTTCCTAAGTTAATAGCTCTTTTAAGTATTTTCTGGTTTCTATGAAACTTGGCCAATGACTTGTGTTGCAAAGTGTCCTTGTTATGCCTCCCATTATCATTTCCATATTTTCTTGGAGGCCAACTCCAGGCAAATTAAAAAAATCCCATGCAGCGGGGTTGTGGCTGCACTGCAATGGTTGGTTGCACCTTTTGTCCAGGGGAGGGGAGAAACCATTTTACTTACCTAATCCTCTGGCAGGTGGTGCTCCCCCATGATCTGGCAGTAGGCTGCCCCTCGGCGTCCTTACATCCAGGCAGTGCTATGGACCTTGCTCTGGTCTTTTACATCAGAACTCATGGAGGACAGAAGCTGCGGGGGAAGGGTGGGGGGATACTGGTCTAGCTGTGTGAGGAGGAGAGGAGGGTCCTTGTATTTCCTTTTTATTGTTCTCCCTAGACTTTAATGAGCAATTAATCCTCGTAATGCCAGGTGTTTGTGCAGAATTAGGCTTTAAAAAACAAGATGCAGATCAGTACCGACATGTTTCACCCCCTTCATGACCAGGCCATGCTTCAGTTTTCAGTGCTGCCATACTTTGGTCAACAATTACTTTGTCATGTAACACTGTACCCAAATCAATTTTTTTAGCTTTTTTTTTTTTTTTTCCAACACAGGGCTTTCTTTCGATGGTGTTTATTAACCACGAGGGCTTTTTTTTTTTTTTTTTTTTTTACTGTACAAAAGAAAAATCCAAAAAGAGTTGAAAAAAAAACCTGTTTTCCCTTACTTTGTTTTTATAAAACACTCCCAGCCCCTCCCAACACACGCACACACACGCGTCAATTACATTTTTTTAAAAAAAACACTGAAAACTGAAAGGTTTGATCTTGTTTTAGACCCAATGAGGTCATTAATGGGTTTTTTGAGCTTCTCTATAGCTTCCTGAAGACATCACAGCCCCCGGCCTCGGTATCTCTCTCAAGGGCTTGCCTTCCTCTGGATCAACTGTGGGTGTAGAATTATAACTTTTTTTTTAAATGGTTGAACTGGATGGACTTTTGTCTTTTTTCAGCCAGACTAACTATGTAACTATGTAAGGGATCTTGGCCCTAATGCAAGGAGTGGGCTGGCTGTTGGGAGGAGTTATGCAAATATCAATACCTTGATGGGTGGGTGTCAGTATGGAGAAGTGGGGGTTCCTAGATAGGATATAGTTGCATGCAGACCGCGCATATGTGATGCTTAGCCTCCATGATCGAAAGAACTGAAAGCCAATAAATGGAAGGGGCGGGCCAGAGACAGTCAGAGCGGGATATAGAAAAGCAAGATGATGCCAGATGTCCTCCAGTCATGAAATGGGGCGGAGCTCTATCTGACTTGCTGCAGCTTCTAATGCACATTGTGAGAAGCTCGCAGTGTGCAGTGAAATCAGAGGAAGCCGTTTCAGTCCAGGAGAGGAGCCGGTATACCTGTGCAAGACTGAAGGGGAGGAGCCGGTACACCTGTGCAAGACTGAAGGGGAGGAGCCGGTATACCTGTGCAAGACTGAAGGGGAGGAGCAGGTACACCTGTGCAAGTCTGAAGGGGGGGAGCCTGTAAAACTGAAAGACTGAAGGGAAGGAGCTTGTACAACTGTACAAGACAGGAGAGGAGGAGCCGGTACATCTGTGCAAGGCTGGAGGGGAGGAGCCGGTACAGCTGCGCAAGACTGGAGGGGAGGAGCCAGTACACAGGTGCAAGACTGAAGAGGAGGAGCTGGTACACCTGTGCAAGACTGAAGGGAAGGAGCCGGTACACCTGTGCAAGACTGAAGGGGAGGAGCCAGTACACCTGTGCAAGACTGAAGGGGAGGAGCCTGTACAACTGTACAAGACTGGAGGGGAGGAGCCAGTACAGCTGAGCAATACTGGAGGGGAGGAGCCAGTACACAGGTGCAAGACTGAAGGGGAGGAGCCAGTACTCCTGTGCAAGACTGAAGGGGAGGAGCCGGTACACCTGTGCAAGACTGAAGGGGAGGAGCCAGTACACCTGTTCAAGACTGAAGGGGAGGCTGGAGGTCAACTTCAAGGCTATCTGGAACTGCACGTACACATATCTGGGTGAATGTTACAACACAAGTCCCAGCAATAACTTCATACCCATACAGGTCCACTTCAAGTTGGACTTGGATATTAATGTCCACACACAATCCAACTGCCTCACAATCCACTAAGCTATAACAACTGTCATTTCTCAGTATAGATAGTATATAGGCAGATCGGGACGGCTGATAACACCCACAGTCATTCCTGAAGGAAGATGAAAGTTTCTGGCCGGCTCCAGCCCCAACCAGAAATGTCAAGGTGACACAATCCTCCTTGTTCAGACAAGTGGAGGAGGAAGGCCAGGAGTGCCATCCATCCCGGACTCTCAGGTACTCATCTATTAATTACCAGGAAATGGCGCTTGCTGTTAGATTTGTGCCTGAGGTAGGATGAGTCCTTCCACATCCCCAGTTTATGTCCTAATTGCAGCTCATGAAACGGCATCACTCTTCCACTCTCGTTTAATAGAATGATTAATTTGCTGGTTAGGTCTTCAGAACGGGTTCCTCCAATTGGCCCTTTGGCAGGAGATACACACAGACCTTGTCTTCAGAAGGGGTTAATCCAATTGGCCCATTGGCAGGAGATACACACAGACCTTGTCTTCAGAACGGGTTCCTCCAATTGGCCCATTGGGCAGGAGATACACACAGACCTTGTCTTCAGAACGGGTTCCTCCAATTGGCCCATTGGCAGGAGATACACACAGACCTTGTCTTCAGAACGGGTTCCTCCAATTGGCCCATTGGCAGGAGATACACACAGACCTTGTCTTCAGAACGGGTTCCTCCAATTGGCCCATTGGCAGGAGATACACACAGACCTTGTCTTCAGAACGGGTTCCTCCAATTGGCCCATTGGCAGGAGATACACACAGACCTTGTCTTCAGAACGGGTTCCTCCAATTGGCCCATTGGCAGGAGATACACACAGACCTTGTCTTCAGAACGGGTTCCTCCAATTAGCCCTTTGGCAGGAGATTTGTCTTCTGTGTTGTAGCCCTCGGGGTGTTTACAAAGGTTTGACTCCAAACAAAGCAGCATGGGAGGACCTCAGATGTTGGGTGGAATCCGGTAAAACAACTCTAGTCATAATATTTGTTTTGGAAAGTTGCCTACAAAAGATGGTGCTTAGAAGACAGGTATGGGATTTTTTTTTCCCCCAAATCATACTTGCCTAGGTGGATGCAGCATCGGTCTCCGCCACCTCCAAAATGGGGAGAACTCCGCGATCACGTAACCGCTAATTGTTCTCATCGCCACTGAGAGCAGAGAGCTGTCTGTTCCATCCCCCCCAGCACTCACTGGAGCGCTGGACTGAGGAGGGGAAGGGAGTGGCTGGCTCGCTGAGAGGCTGAGCCTGGTTTTAATGGCGGGATCTTTTCCCAGTCTGGACTGGTTGAATGAGACCAGCCGACAGCGATCTTCAGCCCGCCCTCAGCTGAAAAAGGGTCACAGGAGTGCAGAATGAACTCCTGTGATCCCAAGGAACAGTACAGCCCAAAGAGCTTTGGCTGTACTCCTCCATTATTCCTGGTGTCTCCTGTAGACAACAGGGGTCTCCAAACTTTACCAGTTTACTGTCCTTCAGATTTTAGTGGAGCTGGACTGTGGCCATTGGGAGTTGAAATTGTCCTGGTGTCAGTGGGAGTAAACAGGGCATCTTTGGCATTAGGGGGAGGAATAGTGCATCATCATTGGTGTCAAGGGAATAATGTCCCATTGCTGGTGTCAGTGGGAGGAATAGAACCCCATCATCAGTGTCAGTGAAATGAATACTGCCTCATCCTTGGTGCCAGTGGGAGGAATAGTGCCCTGTCGTTGGTGTCAGTGGGAGGAATAGTGCCCTGTCGTTGGTGTCAGTGGGTGGAATAGGGCCCATCGTTGGTGCCAGTGGAAGGAATAGTGCCCTGTCATCGGTGCCAGTGGAAGGAATGGTCCCCAGTCGGTGTCAGTGGGAGGAATGGTGCCCCGTCGGTGCCAGTGGGAATTGTGCCCCGTGGTTGGTGTTGGTGTCAGTTCCCCACCCCTCTCATCACAGTTCAGCCCCCCTTACCTTGTCAGTGGGAGGGATGGTAGTGACATAGGGGGGGCTGGTGGATGGAACCACATAGAGCAGCGGAACCCCAGACTTCTGACACAACTGGAAGAGTCAGATGCAGATTATTCTCCTGCAGATATTTCAAAGTGGGTCCTGACTGAGCGTGAGACTCAATGGCAAGTATGATCTTGTGGCTGTAATCTCCCAGCTTGAGGGACAGCTCTCTATCATGTGTGGTAACTGCACGGGGCCCCAGGACAATCCAAAGAAAGTGTAAAGGATAAGAGCACCACAAGTCTAAGTAATCCAGTATAGATTCATTAACATATCGTATCGTAGATCAGTGGTCTCCAAACTGTGGGCCTTTGTGTGCCAGCACATGGCCGAGATTGGATTCCCTTACAGACATAGCAGCCAGGTACACACTGGATTCCCTTATAGACACAGCCTTGATCTGCACAGTGTGTAGCTGGCTACTGCAGCTGTGCTGCCATTCTAATCTGGGAGTTTCACAGGTCAGAATTGTGACATAGCAGCCAGGTACACACTGCGCAGATTGAGGCTGTGTCTGTAATGGAATCCAATCTCGGCCATGTGCTGTGTGGGAAGCAGGCCCTTCACATTGGGTTTGTGTTGGAGGGAATGAAGGAATAAAAGGTAAGACTCAATTATGCTGCAGATTGTGAAGGGCCTGCTTCCTACACAGCACATGGCTGAGATTGGATTCCCTTACAGACACAGCCTCAATCTGCGCAGTGTGTGTGCCTGGCTGCTATGCCACAATTCTGACCTTCGAAACTCCCAGATTAGAATGGCAGCACAGCTGCAGTAGCCAGCTACACACTGTGCAGATCAAGGCTGTGTCCGTAAGGAAATCCAATCTCAGTTATGAGCTGTAGCAGGAGAGATCTGCTGAGGGCCCAGGCTGTGTGCAGTGCATGGATGGAAGGAGGAGCTCTGTTGGATGTCCTACCAGCATGGACCCTCTCCTCTTCATCCTCTGCCCTGCTAACCCCTGTACACTGCCCTACTGACCTCATATCCTGTGCCCCCGTGACATTTTTTACTAGCCCCCCCACAGGCTAGATCTGGCCCTGTTGTGCTCGCTATGCAATGCAGACAGATCTGGTGGGAGGGGCCGGCAGGGTGCTGTACATAGCTTCCTGAAAACACAGCACCCTGCCTCACTACTCCTCTTAAGGCCCTCAGTCCTGGTGCAAGCAGTGGGTTGGCTCTTGGGAGGAGTTATGCAAACATCAAAATGCCTCGATGGGCGAGTGTCAGTGTGAAGCAGTGAGCATTCCTAGGCATGCAGACCACCCTAAGTAACACCCTCCATGATTGAAAGAACTGAAATCCGATGAATGAATGGGGTACGCCAGCAACAGTCAGACTTGGGAGGAAAAAGCTAGTAGCAGGGGTGTCAAACGCAGATTCAATTTGGCCCAAATCAGCATTATGGTTGCCCTCAAAGGGCCGGTTGTCTCTGTAAGACTAGATGTCAAGAGCCCCCCCATCAGAAGTCAAAAGTTCCCCACCCTCTCATCACAGTTCAGCCCCCCTTACCTTGTGCTACTGCCAAGAAGCAGAAGGTGCAGGTTCTGGAGGAAGACTAAAGGAGGGCTGGAGTCTGTTGAGTGCTGAGAGAAGTTGGAGCTGAGGGTGTGCTGCAGCTGCACAGAGAGGTGAAGGATCTGTACGAGGAGCTCTGTCCTCCTCACTGCTTTCAAACATGGAGACGGGGGGGGAGGGGGGGGAGAAGAGACGAGGGTGTGCTGTAGCTTCACAGAGAGGTGCAGGATCTGTAGGAGGAGTTCTGTCCTCCTCGCTGCTTTCAAACATAGAGACTGGGGGGGAGATGAGGGTGTGCTGTAGCTTCACAGAGAGGTGCAGGATCTGTAGGAGGAGTTCTGTCCTCCTCGCTGCTTTCAAACATAGAGACTTGGGGGAGATGAGGGTGTGCTGTAGCTTCACAGAGAGGTACAGGATCCATAGGAGGAGTCTGTCCTCCTCGCTGCTTTCAAACATGGAGATCGAGGGGGACGGAGATGAGGGTGTGCTGTAGCTTCAGAGGGGTACAGGATTCATAGGAGGAGTCCTGTCCTCCTCGCTGCTTTCAAACATGGAGAGAGAGAGGGTGTGCTATAGCTTCACAGGAGGTACAGGATCCATAGGAGGAGTCCTGTCCTCCTCGCTGCTTTCAAACATGGAGATCAGGGGGGCAGAGATGAGGGTGTGCTGTAGCTTCACAGAGAGGTGCAGGATCTGTAGGAGAAGTTCTGTCCTCCTCGCTGCTTTCAAACATGGAGATCGGGGGGGGCAGAGATGGGGGTGTGCTGTAGCTTCACAGAGAGGTGCAGGATCTGTAGAAGGTGTGTCCTCCTCACTGCTTTCAAACATGGATATCGAGGGGGTGGAGAAGATGGTGTGTTGTAGCTTCACAGAGAGCTGCAGGATCCATAGGAGGAGTCCTGTCCTCCTCCATGCTTTCAAACATGGAGATCGAGGGGGGTGGAGAGGAGGGTGTGCTGTAGCTTCACAGAGAGGTGCAGGATCTGTAGGGAAGTTCTGTCCTCCTCGCTGCTTTCAAACATGGAGATCGGGGGGGGGGGGCGGAGATGAGGGTGTGCTGTAGCTTCACAGAGAGGTGCAGGATCTGTAGAAGGTGTTCTGTCCTCCTCACTGCTTTCAAACATGGATATCGAGGGGGCGGAGAAGATGGTGTGCTGTAGCTTCACAGAGAGCTGCAGGATCCATAGGAGGAGTCCTGTCCTCTTCCATGCTTTCAAACATGGAGAC